TTTGAGGTCAATTACTGGATTAGCTTATCGAGGTTTTGTCAGCATACACTATGTATTATGTAAATTTTTGCTGTGAAAGACGTAGAAGCATATTTATATGATATTCTGTGCATCAAGTTGTAGCAACAGTCATAGATAATTGCAAATTTCTTTATACTTCACAAAACATTCTCGTGATAATACAGTTTAAATAGCACAAACTGTAGGCCCTTTCTTAAACTAAACGTTAAATTTAATATATATTTTTACTGGAATGTAGGTTTCTTTTAAAGATATAATATTGTGATAGTTACCTGCAGTTTATTCATAATTGCTTTTCATTTGTTAGATTCTTACTGCAACTGTGTCCTTCGGAAATGAAATTAATCGTATAATTTTCCCCTCTTGATTTTTCGGACGATAAGATTAGTAATAAAAGGCAGGAAATACTGGAGGAAAAAGGATATTAATTTAGATAATTTTTTATTTTAGTATTTCTATTTTTCTATAGTCATGGTGGAGTAATTCAAATGTTAAGATTTTCACTCGTAGGTGGTCAATACTGGACAACTGATGAGTAGTTCAATCTAGTATTTTTATTGAATTTTTTTATTTTATTTAATTTTAAGTCTTACTAAATAGTTCTTTGGATAATTCATAAACAGGCTATGTGTTTACATTTCTTGGGACATCAACCCCTGACGAAGTTCTTCAAGATAATCTTTCTTTATGATTTTCTAATTTTGAACTTTGATGTTTGAGTTTCGTTTATTTCAGTTTCACATATATATCTTGACTGCATTATTCTTATATTTTTCCTATATATTTTTGGTGTTTAATTTTAATGTTAATCTCTTAGATCAAAGGTAAAATGTGGATTTCAATTTTTCACAAAAGTATTTTTTTATTTCACTTACGTTTTCAATTCTTTATAAAGAATTCTCTTTATTCAAGATTTTAATTTTAATTTACTTCGGGAAGGGGTCAGAATTTTCGGGTGAACTTTTATAATTGAAATGGTTTATTGGCTAATTCTGCATACAGAAAAGCAAGCATTTTTGTGGAGTGTGTGTGTTTGGTGTATTTAATTATGGCAAAGCACACTAGGGCTATCTGCCTAAGGGAAGGGATGCCTTCGCGGAGGACTTTCTAAGGGAAACTGACTCGTATACACGTTACACATGGGGAAAACCACGAAAACACCATGCAGCCAGCCCGTTCGCGGGATTCGAACCTCGGACCGAACTACCAGTGTTCAGCGACTTTACCGCTCGGCCCCTGGTGGCCGACCATTTTTTGTGGAAGAGAGATTTCAATTGATTTCAGTGTTCCTGCTCTTGACGAAGTGGGCCCACCAGCAGCCGAGCGGTAAAGTCGCTGAACACTGGTAGTTCGGCCCGAGGTTCGAATCCCGCGGACGGGCTGGCTGCATGGGCGTTCGTGGTTTTACCCATGTGTAACGTGTATACGAGCTAGTTTCCCTTAGAAAGTCCTTCACGAAGGCATCCCTCCCCTTAGGCAGATAGCCCTAGTGTGCTTTGCCAGAATTAAATACACACATAAAAATTAAATACACACCTGACGAAGTGGCAATGAGGTTGACTGAATTTCTCTTCTGTTATGTTCTTTTTTCTTTAAATTTCATTGAGGATATTGCTTGTTCGAAGAGTTTTGATTTTAACATTTATTAGATTCTTTATTGCATTTATAGTATTATTTGAAATTTATTACTTATGAATTTCAATTTTTGTTCTTTGTATAAAATTAGTTCTAAATTTCTTACTTTATATCTTTAGTTATAATTTTTCAGCAGCTTAATGCGCGAAAATTCTAGACATGATTATATTTTGTTTTAAAAAAATTGTTTTGTAATTTTATATATTATATATATATATATATACATATACTATAAGAAAAGTTGTAAGAACAAAACTAAAAAGACCAATTTTGATCAAAATGTTTTGCACATTGTGCTGCAAAATTAAGGAAATGAGAAGATAAATTTTAGTATGCTCGCCAAAAAGTTACTAAGAGGTTGGCTCCAAGAAAACTCCAACATAAGCATTTTCATTTGCTATGAAAAGTGTGAAAATGGAAAAAAAAAATATTTGTATATTTACAAGTTAGATTAATAAAAGCTATATGCTAAACATTTTCGGAAATTTTAACACAGGAAAAAAAACAAATCAATTGAATGAGGTAAAATAATAGGCTATATTCGAAATAAAAAGTAAATTAAAAAAAAAAAAAAAAAAAAAAAAAAAAAAACATTAAAATACTAATTAATTGAACAAGTTAAAGGCAAAAAATATTAAAATTAAGAAGCGGAAATTGGTTAATTAGCCCAATTCGACGTTCATTTTGGCTTTTCAAGGGAAATTTTTAATTAATCTCGAACTACCAAGCTAACCCCATTACGCGTTACGCCGAAACAGACAACTGAAACTTTGCGCTACAAATTTTTTAATGAATTAAATAAACTGTCATAAAATCTTTAGTCTCAATTCTCTGTTCCAATTTCCCGACGCGTCCGCTTATTAAGGTGTAAAAGAAATGTAAATGCAATTCCGAAGTGCAGCAATAATAAAAATAAAAATAAATAAATAGCGGTATACTATTAGTCAAAATATACAATAACGTACAGGCTGGGCCTGCAAGCTTAAAGAATTAAAACTTTACAAACGAACCGTAAATTAAATTTAAATGAAAAAGGAAAAATAAACAAGACGACTAGCAGAGTGGGTCTTGCTAAGACCTAGAAAAAATTTTAATACAAATATTAAAATAATCAGACCAGTAACAATGCTGTCTTCTCTGGTGACGAGGAAACTCGAAAAGGGTTTGTATTTCCCCTTGCGCTTTTCCTTGCCGTCCAACTTGTCGTATGATGTAGAAAGGTGGAAACAATGTCACTGGGCAATAGCCAATGTCAGGAGACTGTCCGTTGGCGGGAACCTGACTACAGCAAAAGGGAGGTGAAAGACGTGGAAAATGTTCAAAATGGCGTGTGTCATAGTAGTTTTAGGAAAAAGGACTGGGGCAAAAGTGAAAATGGCTAAGTCAGCAAAAAAATACTTAAAATGGCCTCTAAAGTAAGAAAAAAAAATGGAAAAAATAGTAATTTGTAATGAAAGTCGCAATTCTTCAAGCTAGAGGGCGTTCAAGCTGCCAGAAACGAAAAGGCCCGTTTGTTAATAATAGTAGCAGAATTGGCCATCAAAGTAATTTCAAAACTATTTTAAAAATAGTATTAAAAGTATTGTGCCAAATTTTTAGAAAAAAGAAAACCTAGTGCCAAGAATTATCTAGACATTTATACATTAGATTTTCAGAATCAGCCATCCACTTTATACCGTCCCATTGGGCTTTAAGTATAAAATTTCATTATCTAACTCAAAAAATCTAAAAAATTGGTAAGGCTAATGCTAGCTTTTTTTAAAGTATTTTAAATTACTTTTTGAGGAATGAGGTTATTTTTTAAAATTGTCACGAAGTATAGTACTTCTTCTTGAAGGTGTTTTGCTGTATTGCAGATTCTTTTAATTCTAAGCAGTTGTGAATAAATTGTGTTGAGAATGACTCTTTTGGATATATTTGAATTCCAGTTGTTTGATGTAAGTGCTGAAAAAAAATGAGTTCTCTTCTTTTGTCATATACTTTTAATAAATTGTAATCTATAATATGTAAATCAAGGTAGACTATATTATGTTGCACCGTATTAGTATTATTAAGTTTTAGGCATGAAGGGTAGATATTAGCATTTTCTATCTTGTTGAAGTTGTTAAAGGCTATTACATCATCAATATATCGAAAGATGTGTTGGTAAGATTTATGTTCTTCCTTACTGACTGAACGTATAAAAGTTAATTCTTTTGTAAAAAGAAATAATTCACTGACAGAACTTGAAAAATTACCTTCCATTGGAATTCCCTGTATTTGCTTAAAGATGTTGTTGTTAAATTGAATAAAATTATTGAAAAGTACGCATGATAGAAAAAGTTCTCATTTTTCAGTATTTATTATTGTAGAAATCTGTGGAAATAATTCAGGAAGAATAAGTAAACTTTTATGAATTTCTTCAAGTGGTATAAAGGTTTTCAAAGTCGTCAGATATGTTCTATTTTAAGTGTACTTCTACTATTTAGAACCTGTTCGTTACTTGAAATCATCCAGTTGCAATGTAGATCTTTAAAATCATAGTTATTAATGAGGACACGTATTAGACGTAGATTTGCGCAAAGAGATAATCTATTTCTTTAAGATAACTTTGAGTACTATTGGCAATGAATCTAAATTTGATCGGAGTCTTATGAAATTTTGGTAATGCATAGGGATTTGCAAATCTGTTATTATATTTCCGGGGGAGGATTTTAAGTTTTTTATGTATTTTTATTTATTGAGAAGAATCTTAGTACTGGTAGTAATCTTTTGGTAGGTGCAAGTGTTATTCAATTCATTATGCAGAAGGTCGAAATAAAACTTTTTTAAAATAACACTAAAATTGTTGCTAGCTTTGTTAATCTTTGTGATGATAAAGTTATCTTGCTGCTTCTGAATAAGAATTTCTAGATGCTTTTTATTATGCAAAGCATTGAAATTAGGTAACTTGGAAAACATAAGCTGAAATTCTTTAATTAGTGCAGCTTTCCATTCAAGAAAAGTGGTTGTAGGTAAATTGGATCTATTACTAGCTAAAATGAGAATTTTATCAAGATCATTATTGAATTGTTTAAGGCTAAAGGGCTTATTAATACTGTTGGACGAAATTTGGAGTTAATAAATTTAAATTAATAAGTTGGACGAAATTTAGTGCCAAGTTGCATAAGGGCACGCAATTTTACATCTTCAATGATATTGACATCTCCAGTAACAGCATGTTGGTGTACGTGTGTATGCGTATGTATATATGAATGCATATATGTATCTTAATATCTAATGTAAATCTGAAATGTCCGGTTCACATTAGCAATAAAGTGCAACACATATACTTTTTCCAGCAGATATGGAATAGTTTAATTATTAGTACAATATTACTGATAATAATTAAATAAATATATAATGGCTATTTTCATTTTGTTATACATGGAAATGCCCATTTTTCATGAAAAATATGAAATTTGCTTTTAATTAAACTAGACTAAATTTTAAATATATGATTACACAAAGAGAAATATCTTTTCCTCTTGTGTTGTTCTGAAATGAAGTTTCAAATTTCAACAAAAGCAGAAAAGAAAATTATCTGGTTATTACTTTAATTTCAATATGAAATCATAATTTTAAGACATTATGCTAGAAATGTTCATCTACTTTGAATAACATTCATGCATAAAATCGTTATTAGTACAACACACATATTGCAACACTTCTTTTTTTCACGTCTATATTGTACACGTAATGATATATATTTAATATTATTTGCAGAAAGTATTCAACAAATATATCCGTTTCAGTCAGTGACGTTATTATTGCATTATAAAATCATGAATCAAATCAGTTAACGTTTCTTACAAAGTATATTACCAAAAGCTCTTCTAAAATCCATATTGAAAACTGTGTAAATAACTGGATTTAGAGCTGAATTCACATAACCTAACCATGTGATGAAGTTTACAACTCTGCTTGAAACATAGCAATCCTCACAGAAAGGTAAGATAACATACATGAGGAAGAAAGGAAGCCAGCATAAAACAAACACACCCATTACAATTCCTAGCACACGAGCAGCTCTTCTTTCTTTGAGCAGACAGATTTTTTGTTTCTCTCTCATATAGTGGCGAACAGTTGCAGTTAGTCTCGGGTTGCCATCTGGAACTAATGTTCTGCCCGCACAAGCTGCGATTTTAGTTTTTTCGGTAGCTTCTGTAACAATGACTTCAATAGCTGTACCTTCTTTAGAGGTGGAGGGTCCATTTTTTTCGTCCGAGTTTTTGTTTCCAGCCGAAGAAGAAGTTGAATCATCAGTGACAGCGATTGTGCTGATCTCGGATTGCATAGATTTTAATGGAATCGTCGATGATGCTGTATCTGGACTTTTTCGCATTGCTGCTAAGTTCGCGGCTGCTTTGGCTTTGACCCGTATTCGATGTTTAGCTGCTTCAAAAATCTTTATATAAACCACTGTCATGATGAGCAGGGGAATATAAAACGATCCGCTTGCTGAGTAAATAACATATCCCCTTTCTTCTGTGAGCATACAAGGGGTATCTTCTGTAAATTCTTCTGGCCAGTCATTCCAGCCAATGAGAGGAGGTGCTGAAATGAGCATGCTAACCACCCACACAGCAACGATCATCATAAGCACTCGTTTCAGGGTCCTCTTCCGTGCATAGTTGATGGGATCATGGATTGCCCAATAGCGGTCCAAGGCAATAGCTGAGAGATTCAGGATGGAAGCTGTGCAGCATAGGACATCACATGTCAACCACATCTTGCAAACAGGCAATCCAAATTTCCACTGAGCCATTATCGTATAAGCTACGTTGAGAGGCATAACAAGAACAGCCACCGTAATATCTGCTACTGCCAGAGACACAATAAACATATTTTGAACGTTCCTTAGAGGACGATAAGTGAACACAGATATAATTACCAATACATTGCCAAATATAGTAGATACAATAATAAAAGCTAATGCCAATGCTGTTAAAATAGCTTCTAAGGTAGACATAGGATACTCTACCGGTTCCGTAGTAGTATTGTTGTCGTAATCTTCGATGATGTCCTCGACGATGATCTCCATGGTTATTTTAATTAGAAGCAATAAATCAAAATGTGAAAGATATAACCACTTGTGCCATTTTTAGACTTCACAGTATTCAAAATACATTAATTCTCTTCTTTTGAAGCTGCATATTGAATTATTAGTTTTGCAGAATAACCTCTTGTTTCGTCTGGCTATATTATGAATATCCATGCTGAGCCTAGAAATAAAAAAGTCAGTATTAATAATACTTTTTTTGATAAAATACATAATATTAACTTATATTTAACATAAACGTATTTTCACTTAATTTTTCTATGAGTTTATCGAAAATATATAAATACGATAAACGCAATTTATTTTATTTTAGAAAAGACCTAAGTTATTAAATGAAATCATAATGGGAAACATTTCTTTCAAACACTATTTGGAATGCGTTCTGCATTTCGCTTCTAAAACTTACAATGGCTTGATTCATGTGTACTATAATAAATCACGTCAAGGCGTTATCTTGAAACTTTTATCAACAGGTAGCAGAAGCAAATCTTCTGTCGCTGTTAATAAAACGTGCAACTATTAACTTCCTCTCTACATTAAAATACGATAAATCTTCGTAATGGCAAGCACTTTGGTATCCAGATTATTACTTTCTAGGTGATCGTCCTAAAACAGGTAAAGGCAGGGCCATTCCTAGCGGCGGGTACAGCGCGTAAATGAAGCAGGCTGTTGAAATCAGGGGCAGCCGATTTTCGGCGATGCAAACGCCTAATATAATAAATTCAATATAATATTCATAATAAATTAATAGCAATAATTTATATAAATTTAATTAATAATATTTATAAATTATAACATTTAATTAATTATTATATTATTAAAATATATTGTTAAATATATTTATAAATTATAATATTTAATTAATTATTATATTATTAAAATATATTGTTAAATATTATTTATAAGAATAATAATTTAATGTCATAAATAAGTACTTTTTATACAATTTGTCATGTGTAAGTACTTAGTATGAAATAAAAAGTTTATTAATCATTAAGCAATTTTTTTTTTAAATTTTGGGGCGGCAATCTTAGGAGAGTACGCGGACAGCCAATTGCCTAGGAATGGCTCTGGGTAAAGCTCAGCGTCAATATTTACCTCTCTCACAATGAGATTTTGGTCACATTCAGAAATGATCTTCTCAGAGAGAGGTCTCAACAACAAATTTCATTGCATGATAATTTCTGAAATTAAAAGAAATATATTTATTTAATGTTTTAAATCTAAAAGCGTTTTTTAATCTCCCATCAAAATCAGCTGTTGAAGGGTTATAAAAGGTCTTGGTCTATTATTTAACAGATATATTACAATTTTTTACACGAACAAATACATTTTTATTTCTAAATAAAAGTACATTTTAATATATTTATTAGAATCAAAACATATAATGCACAAACACAGCAAAAAGGTATGTTCCATTATACACAAAACCTTTAAAAGATTTCACATGTAATAAGCTCCCTCATAAAAATTATAGATCAACCGCTATAAATCATTTTTCATTGCAGAGAGAGCTGCTATAAACGTGCGTACTTATACTTGCTTCAAAAGTGACTAATGCCAAAATTACACGAAGTTAAAGAGTATTTCATTTATTGGAGGAGTGGAAGCAAAGAGAACCAGCGTAATTTTCATAAATTTGCAAGACAAGTTTCAAAGGTCTTGAAAAGTCAAAAGTCTTGAATACAGAACCTTCTTTTTCATCTAAGATAATATAAGGTGATAAGAATGAAAGTAAAGACGTCAAGCTACTGGAGCCATCTATTGAGGAAAAATGAAAACAACTATGAAATCATTTCTATAAAAGCTGACGGTTTGGAATTGGAATAGTTAAATAGAACTGAAAGGTTTAAACCCTCTAGAAAATCTAGTTTGCCATCGAAAGATGTTTGAATGATTTTGGCTGGAGAAAATTGGAAAATGTGATTTTCTGACCAACTCTGTTGGACAACAGAGAACTTATATGCTTTTTTTTTCTAACATATGCATCATATTTTTTACCTTGAAATTTTAAAGTTTTCCGAAAATTTCTTGATATTTCTTTAAGCGATGACTTTTGCTGTTATATACGAAAATGTGAATGACAAAAATTTCAAAAGATGTTAACATCGAAATAACACTAATCAAAGAATTGATCAACTTACAACACATGGAAAACAAATTCTCTACAACTTAGAATGCAAAGAACCAGTAACAATCGTTAAAAGATTTTGCGCACAAATAAGGCATAAACCAACAGTAGTAAAGTTGTTTTATGCCTGGAAGAAAAATACTGGTAATAATTTCCTGCAATCTGTTTAACCCGCCTTCAGTTTTCACTAAATATTAAGTAACTTCAATGTGTATAATACTCATCCTCTAGAAACTCAATCACGTAAATTACATGGAATACTTTTATACTTTTAAGGAATTTTATTTTTCTGATATAAATTTTATGTTGATAAACAGAATTTCACGTCCTCTTGTTGAGTAATATAAATAACTTTTACCTATGTAGTAACATAAATATCTGAGTAACATAAGTACCTTTTACATGAATTACATATGTCGAATTAACTAACGAAATTTCAAGTTTTTTTTTTTAATTTTTTTAAAATTTTTTTTAAAATTTTATTTCTTTTACATTACCTGAATACATTCTAATCTAGTCTGTCTGTCTGTTCGAATATACTAAGATAAATGAAACGTGACAAAGGGGAGATAATCATAAAACTTTCTGTCACATTTGACGTTATTTTTAAGCTATTAAAGAGTTATTATTATGTAGTTATTTCTCAGTATAAACTTATATAAACTACATTAAACATTTATCAAACTTGTCTTACTCTTTCTCAAATTATAGATATATTTGAAGGACGAAATATAGGCCGATTACCGAATATAGGAATATAGAACCATATTCAGCATATTTGAAACCTTTACAGAGTCATATCATAAGGAATATGATCGTACATTTAATTTTATTGCAAAATGATTTTCATATTAATTTTTAGCTCTCAAACAACGACTATTATAAATTTTGTTCGTATTTTTCTCAGTACAGATATGTCTAGCTCTTTGTTACCAAAACCATATATGATAATTATAATACATTCAAATATATTTATACACATCTGTGGGTGTATGTAGCGCCAAAAAATAAGTATGAGCTAGTTCTATATCTCCCCTTCTACTGGGCCGATTAAAGAAATTCAACTTTCGTTTTTCATGTCTCGAAAGCGCGATCTAGGATATGCATAAGATTTATATATAGCGTTATTCTATTATAGGTATTTTGACACAAAATCGGACGTTTCCTGAAACGAAATGCCTTTTTTTTTTATATATTTTGATTCTACGACTCGAATTCTGCGAAATTGTCAAGTTTTGTAAAATTCGCACGAGTAGCTTTTAAAAAATTAGCTCTCAAAATTCTAGCTCCTTTAAGTTTTAATTGAATTTGGTATATATTTATTGATATTTCTCTTTTCATTAAACTTACTTGATTGTTTCTTCCAGAATTCGAAATTTAGGCTTAATCCAAATATAATTCGCATATTTTTTATGATTAATTTTTTAAATTTGTATTTTTAAATATTTTTTATAAATTTTTCGAAAACATTTTTTATGATAACCTATAAATTTTTAACATCATCTTAAAGTAGATGTATTTCTAGGCACACTTGCAAGAGATCAGAGTTTTCTATTCGAAAGTTTCTAACAGATACATGCATTTACGTATTGGCGCGTTTTGAAATTTGGTGCACTTATTATAGGCGATAATAACGAAAATGTAGTTTACGCACTTTGTTAAAATTATTTGAAAGAATGTACTATGGACCTTTTTTTCGCTCGTACGTCAGTGAAAAAAAAGAAAGTAAGTAGGTTGCCATAAAATAAGAATTCCTCCAAGTGAATTATTCTTGGTGCAAACTGAAAAAAATTCGCCAAGAAACATTTATAATTTCTCCGTAAATTTCGCACCAAATTTTACAAAATTTAATATTTAGGCATAATTTGAGTCGTAGAATAGCCCACCAGCGGCCGAGCGGTAAAGCCGCTGAACACTGGTAGTTCGGTCCGAGGTTCGAATCCCGCGAACGGGCTGGCTGCATGGGTGTTTTCGTGGATTTCCCCATGTGTAACATGTATACGAGCCAGTTTCCCTTAGAAAGTCCTCCACGAAGGCATCCCTCCCCTTGGGCAGATGGCCCTCGAGGCTTTGCCATAATCACACACACACTGAGTCGTAGAATCGAAATATGGAAAACAAAATGACGTGTCTTCTCAATAAGTCCTATTTTATGTCAAAATACCTATATTAGAAAAATGCTATATATAAATATAATACCTATCTTACGTCACGCTTTCGAGACATCAAAAACACAATTTGAATTCCGTCAACCGGCCCAGTTTAGAATTCTAGACGCAGTAGCTGTTAGCACACACATTTTGATTTTTTTCGCTCTTTCCTCAGTTCATCATATTAATATTAAGAGAACGGGATATATGTGGACAAGTTCTTATTTTTTTCTTCACAGTGTACTTGTATTCATGGTAGTATACATAACACACTTATTTTCATTATTCAATATATTTAGTGTTTTAATAATGATATTTTAATTTTGATTTTGAGCGAGCACGTTACAAAGGCTTTCAATTTCAGGAGCCATAATGAAACAGAATTTTAGAATGTTGCCAAAAAGACCTTCAGTAATCCACTAAACTAGTGATCTTCAAACTCAGAATGCATGCGGGCCACATGCACGATCTAAAGGCCAGACCGTTTTAAAAAAAATAAAAAAAAAATTCTAAATATAAAATTCTGCTTACTAAATATGCGTGAAAACGTAAGATAAAGAAAAAGAAGAACGCAAAGGACTTCAAATTTATCTTTATTTTTATCTGAAATCTAAAATTTTCTGCCTGCAAATCAATTTTTTATTTCAGTTACATTTCGTAGTTTAAATATATTGACACCTAAATATTTCAGGCTAATATTTATTTCAAATAATTCTGATATAGTTATCTAATCATTACATAATTTACTTAAAAAAAACTAATCCACTTTTTAAAAATGCGTAAATTATTAAACTTTTCGGAGTTTGCAGAGAAAACTTTGCAAATGTATGAAAACTTGAGAATAAAAAATGAATAACAATTTCTTCTGAAGGTAAATTAAAG